GCGGGGGTGGGGGAGTTGCCCATGGAAGTACGCAGAGGATCCACACTCTGAAGCTTTGGCTTTCCACAAGACCCACAAAAGATAGAAGATGTTAACACAGATGCCCCTTGCCCCATCTCCATCGCCCAGCTCCCAAAGCCCGGTGCTTTGCAAAAAGACGAAGTGAACGTTTGCAGGCACGGCACCACCAGCTGGGGAAACGGCAGGATTTCTCTACAGGAGGTATGCATTTCCTTCCTGGGGTGGGGGTCGGGGGAATGTAAAGATGCCCAATTTTGGCCCTGGGATTCGGAATGTCATGCAGGCAAAGCAGAGCTGCTCACTGAAAAGGGTGGAGGAATTTCAGCAAGGGTCAATTTCCCCAGTGCTAGGGAATATGTGTTCTTTAAGCCAATACTAAATACCAGCAGCGTGACTTATGGTTCTGTTACTCCACAGCCAAAACTGTTCCATCTCAATCACCCCACAGAGCAGGAATAAAGCAATTGTAATAAGATACCTGCAAGATCAACATTTCCTGCCTAGGAAATAAGTCTTGGCTTAAAATTTATTTTCCTTTGGCTTTTATCTGAGGCAGCCGTTGCTCTGTGGCCAGGGTCTGTTCCGCTGACATTAACTAACGACAATACAAAAGCATTTTTGTATTTATCAGGGTTGAAAATGGGCATTGAGGAAATGCCCTTCTGTTCATCTGTTCTTGGTCAGTCCTCGTAACATACACCACGCTGTAATCAATCACTGTAATATCGTGAGAAAAGCCCCTTTGCGTGTGTGTGTGTGTAAATAACTAACTAAAGCGACTGATATGACTATATCCCTTTTGTATACTTGCCAACCAAGTTTTTTCCTCTAAAACACAATGAAATAAAAATCCCCTAAATTATTCATGTGTATTTAAATGAAAATGGCAAAAAGCCTTTGACCAAAAACTAGAATTGAAATGTAAATATCGACTGCCGGGGGGAAAGGGTTTGGGCCCTGATTCAGCAAAACACTTAAAGATGCATTTTGGTCCCATGGATATCTTAAAGTTAAGCGCATTATTCAATGTTTTGATGAACCTCTACAAGGTATAAGATTTGAATGTTTGTTTGATTTTCATGATCAGATAAGTTGACAGGCTGCCGCCACAGAAGAATAAATATTGGTTAAATCTGGTCTCGGTTATGTTAAAGCCAGACAAATTTCTCCATCTACCTTCATAAATGCTTCGAGTCTCTTTTCTCAAAAAAAGCTGTCCAGGTACTTTTCATCCAGACAGTGAATTCTTGCAGCTGTCCGTACAAAGCTGGTTAGCGGAGATCCCTGCTTAACTACAGGTTGGTTGCACAGATGCCATAGCCTGGGATGAGAACGCTGGCTGGCTTTAAAGGTGCTGCATGCTTGGCATTGCGACCCATTTGAATCCAGATGGTGGCGCGGGAGGCTCGCTTGCATGTTCTGAAAGCTTTTGAATCTGCTCTCTGTTCTTCCAAAGCCGTGTTGATTCCAAGCTTTCTGGTGTCCTTCGACTTTGGGCCAGTACTGTGTGTTTACACTGAGGCCTTGCTCCTGCAGCTGAATCTCCTCTAGCCAGGTGTCTGGACCTGTATGGAGCCTCGCTGGCTAAAGTGCAGCTCGTGTCAGTGTAAATATCTGCTCATGTCACCTTGTCCATTCCCTGTTCGAGACTAGACACCTGCTAAGTCTTCCAATATGTTAAGGGCTGTTATAAAGAGGATAGTGATCAATTGCTCTCCATGTCCACTGAAGGCAGGGCTAGAGGGAATGGCCTTAATCTGCAGCAAGGGGGATTTAGGTTGGATATTGGGGAAAACTTTCTAATTATAAGGGTAGTTAAGCTGTGAAAGACTAGAATCCCCATCACTGGAGGTTTTTAAGAGCAGCTTGGAGAAATACCTGTCAGAGATGGGCTAGCACAGGTGTTGGCTTCCTCCTTGTCCCAAGGGTGGTCAACCCCTGCTCAGCTCCAGGCCCTGCCCACACTCGACCCCTTTCCCCAAGCCCCTGCTCCGCCTCTTCCTGCCCCCGCTTCTCCCCGTCCCACCCAGTTCTGCCACCTTCCCTGCCCCCCCACCCCAGGCCTCCTGCTCGTCTCTGAACAGCTGATCATGGCGGGTGGGAGGCCCTTGGGGAAGGAGAGGAGCTGGTTGCCAGTGGGTGCCAAGCACCTGCAATGTTGTTCCCGTGGATGCTCTATGTGGGCTAGGTTTATTTGGTCCTGCCTCAGTGCTGGGGGCTGGACTTGGTGACTTCTTGAGATCCCTTCTAGCCCTGCATTTCTCTGATTCTATGATTTGCAGGGCTGAGTATCTGTTCCTTTAACAGATTTAGCCAACCCTAACTATGCCCCAAGCACTTCATCTAATGCTTAATGAGGTGGTTCCCCACTGTGAATCTAATGCTAGCTGAAGGTTAATGTAGTTTCTCACAGTATTTCCAAGTGCCAGGGAAGTGGAAGAGGCAAAGAATGCTAAAGAACGAAGCAATGGCTACTGTAACGCAGCAGAATTCTCCTTGGTTCTTGCAGACCAGACAGAAAGGGGACTGAGCTGCCGAGTGAGGATCCAAACTTCCCTTTTGTTAGGAGCAGTTCAGGTGTGGGGGGCAGTTCTGATATGGGTAGTGGATGTCCCAATCAGGGCTCTGCTTTGCCAGGCACTGCAGAGTAACTATAGGATTGATTAGTGCTATTGAGTTTATTAGCCAATCACCTTTTAAGCCACCCTTTTAGAATGAACAGGTAATTCTATATGGCTGCAACAATTCCAGAGGATGGCTAACCATTCTGAAGTGAGAAAATCAGAAGAAAGATCGTGGAGAGTTCTCTGAAGACATCCATGCAGTGTGCAGTAGCAGTCCAAAAAGCAAACGGGATATTAGGAATCCTTAAAAAAGGGAAAGAGAATAAGACGGAGAATATCTTAATGCCCTTATATAAATCCATGGTACGCCCTTGAATACTGCATACAGATGTGGTCCCCTCATCTCAAAAAAGATATACTGGCATTAGAAAAGGTTCAGAAAAGGGCAATTAAAATGATTAGGGGTTTGGAATGGGTCCCGTATGAGGAGAGATTAAAGAGGCTAGGACTTTTCAGCTTGGAAAAGAGGAGACTAAGGGGGGATATGATAGAGGTCTATAAAATCATGACTGGGGTGGAGAAAGTGAATAAGGAAAAGTTAGTTACTTGTTCCCATAATATAAGAACTAGGGGCCACCAAATGAAATTAATGGGCAGCAGGTTTAAAACAAATAAAAGGAAGTTCTTCTTCACTCAGCACACAGTCCTCCTGTGGAACTCCTTGCCTGAGGAGGTTGTGAAAGCTAGGACTATAACAGGGTTTAAAAGAGAACTGGATAAATTCATGGAGGTTAAGTCCATTAATGGCTATTAGCCAGGTGGGTAAGGAATGGTGTCCCTAGCCCCTGTCTGTCAGAGGGTGGAGATGGAAGGCAAGAGAGAGATTACTGATCATTACCTGTTAGGTTCACTCCCTCTGGGGCACCTGGCATTGGCCACTGTTGGTAGACAGGATACTGGGCTGGATGGACCTTTGGTCTGACCCAGTATGGCCATTCTTATGTTCGTATAAATTTTAAGGTTTAGTGTAACTTCTTTACAACTGTCTAGCCTATTTTAGGCATTTATACGATTCCCATCACCATAGGATTTGATTGTCTCACAATCTTTAATGTATTTATCCTCACAACACCCCTGTGAGGTGGGGTAGTGCTATTGATCCCATTGTCCAGATGGGAAATTGAGGCACAGAGGCTAAGTGACTTGCCTGAGGTCACATAGGAAGTCTGTGGCAAAGTTGAGCCTTGAACGTAGGTTTCCCAAGTCCTAAGCTAGTGCCTTTACCACCTCCTCTCTATTGATGTCCTCCTCCTTTGCTTTAGTAAGTTTTCCCAATCTCTACAATATCCTTGTATGTAGCACTCAATAAATGGCTTGTAATAGTTCTGCGTTTCCTTTGATACCATGATCATTTTGCTCCAGGTGTTGTATCTGGGCACTAGGGTGCCAACCCAGCATAACACTTAAGCACATGCTAGCTAAAAATATTGCACACAATTGGAGGAGTTATGGCTCCAGCAGGGCCATAACCAGAGCGGGGTGAGCGGGGCAGCTGCCCAGGGTGCAAAGCCACGGGGGGGGGAGGGGGAATTGGGTGGAAAAGTAATGGAAAAACACCAGTAGGATTTGCAAATATGCTTGCTTACCCCAGACACTAAAATGCCTAGTTACAGCTCTGGGTTCCAGTGTAGCAACCCCTCCTCTGGGCAAGGCCAGCACTTCCATGGAAACATGGGGCGGGTGGGCGGGCGGGCGGGCGGGGGGGGGCAGCAAAGTCTGAAATTGCAGCATTGGTGTCTACAGTCTGCTCCCCCTTTCTGCAGCCAACACCTGGGCTGCTCCTGTTCCCCCTGCGTACAGGCTGGGTGTGAAAGACACGTCTCTGTTGCAGGAATGCAATGAGCATGATAAGCCCAGTACAATCACTCTGTTTTCTATTTAACGTTCTGTCCCCTACTTGATGAAATACATATTTAAAAAGGCAACTACTCTGCCTCCGAGCAAAGCCCTTGATGAGCAAAATTCATCCCAGTGCAAAGCTTCATAACCCTGGGGTGATGCCTACCTGTACCCCATTTCTCAGAAAAGGGGGAATATAATGAAAGTGCTGACAAAGATGGTAGTGTGAGTGGGACCAGAGTTGGGGTGTTCGCATCAAATGCTCCAGCATCTGTATTGTCATACCTGATAAGTATGGGGCTAAGATTCGCGATGTGACGGAGAGACTGCCGAGACTCATCAAGCCCTCGGATCGCTACCCCTTCCTGCTTCTCCACGTGGGCACCAATGATACTGCCAAGAATGACCTTCAGCGGATCACTGCGGACTACGTGGCTCTAGGAAGAAGGATAAAGGAGCTTGAGGCACAAGTGGTGTTCTCGTCCATCCTCCCCGTGGAAGGAAAAGGCCGGGGTAGGGACCGTCGAATCGTGGAAGTCAACGAATGGCTACGCAGGTGGTGTCGGAGAGAAGGCTTTGGATTCTTTGACCATGGGATGGTGTTCCATGAAGGAGGAGTGCTGGGCAGAGATGGGCTCCACCTTACGAAGAGAGGGAAGAGCATCTTTGCCAGCAGGCTGGCTAACCTAGTGAGGAGGGCTTTAAACTAGGTTCACCGGGGGAAGGAGACCAAAGCCCTGAGGTAAGTGGGAAAGCGGGATACCGGGAGGAAGCACAGGCAGGAATGTCTGTGAGGGGAGGGCTCCTGCCTCATACTGGGAATGAGGGGCGATCAACAGGTTATCTCAAGTGCTTATATACAAATGCACAAAGCCTTGGAAACAAGCAGGGGGAACTGGAGATCCTGGTGATGTCAAGGAACTATGACGTGATCGGAATAACAGAGACTTGGTGGGATAACTCACATGACTGGAGTACTGTCATGGATGGTTATAAACTGTTCAGGAAGGACAGGCAGGGCAGAAAAGGTGGGGGAGTAGCACTGTATGTAAGGGAGCAGTATGACTGCTCAGAGCTCCGGTACGAAACTGCAGAAAAACCTGAGTGTCTCTGGATTAAGTTTAGAAGTGTGTGCAACAAGAGTGATGTAGTCGTGGGAGTCTGCTATAGACCGCCGGACCAGGGGGATGAGGTAGATGAGGCTTTCTTCCGGCAGCTCACGGAAGCTACTAGATCGCATGCCCTGATTCTCATGGGTGACTTTAATTTTCCTGATATCTGCTGGGAGAGCAAAACAGCGGTGCATAGACAATCCAGGAAGTTTTTGGAAAGCGTAGGGGACAATTTCCTGGCGCAAGTGCTAGAGGAGCCAACTAGGGGGGGCACTTTTCTTGACCTGCTGCTCACAAACCGGGTAGAATTAGTGGGGGAAGCAAAAGTGGATGGGAATCTGGGAGGCAGTGACCATGAGTTGGTTGAGTTCAGGATCCTGACGCAGGGAAGAAAGGTAAGCAGCAGGATACGAACCCTGGACTTCAGGAAAGCAGACTTCGACTCCCTCAGGGAACGGATGGCCGGGGGACTAACTTGAAGGGGAAAGGAGTCCAGGAGAGCTGGCTGTATTTCAAGGAATCCCTGTTGAGGTTACAGGGACAAACCATCCCAATGAGTCGAAAGAATAGTAAATATGGCAGGCGACCAGCTTGGCTTAATGGTGAAATCCTAGCGGATCTTAAACATAAAAAAGAGGCTTACAAGAAGTGGAAGATTGGACATATGACCAGGGAAGAGTATAAAAATATTGCTCGGGCATGTAGGAATGATATCAGGAGGGCCAAATCGCACCTGGAGCTGCAGCTAGCCAGAGATGTCAAGAGTAACAAGAAGGGTTTCTTCAGGTATGTTGGCAACAAGAAGAAAGCCAAGGAAAGTGTGGGCCCCTTACTGAATGAGGGAGGCAACCTAGTGACAGAGGATGTGGAAAAAGCTAATGTACTCAATGCTTTTTTTGCCTCTGTTTTCACTAACAAGGTCAGCTCCCAGACTGCTGTGCTGGGCATCGCAAAATGGGGAAGAGATGGCCAGCCCTCTGTGGAGATAGAGGTGGTTAGGGACTATTTAGAAAAGCTGGACGTGCACAAGTCCATGGGGCCGGACGAGTTGCATCCGAGAGTGCTGAAGGAATTGGCGGCTGTGATTGCAGAGCCATTGGCCATTATCTTTGAAAACTCGTGGCAAACGGGGGAAGTCCCGGATGACTGGAAAAAGGCTAATGTAGTGCCAATCTTTAAAAAAGGGAAGAAGGAGGATCCTGGGAACTACAGGCCAGTCAGCCTCACATCAGTCCCCGGAAAAATCATGGAGCAGGTCCTCAAAGAATCAATCCTGAAGCACTTGCATGAGAGGAAAGTGATCAGAAACAGCCAGCATGGATTCACCAAGGGAAGGTCATGCCTGACTAATCTAATCGCCTTTTATGATGAGATTACTGGTTCTGTGGATGAAGGGAAAGCAGTGGATGTATTGTTTCTTGACTTTAGCAAAGCTTTTGACACGGTCTCCCACAGTATTCTTGTCAGCAAGTTAAGGAAGTATGGGCTGGATGAATGCACTATAAGGTGGGTAGAAAGCTGGCTAGATTGTCGGGCTCAACGGGTAGTTATCAATGGTTCCATGTCTAGTTGGCAGCCGGTATCAAGTGGAGTGCCCCAAGGGTCGGTCCTGGGGCCGGTTTTGTTCAATATCTTCATAAATGATCTGGAGGATGGTGTGGATTGCACTCTCAGCAAATTTGCGGATGATACTAAACTGGGAGGAGTGGTAGATACGCTGGAGGGGAGGGATAGGATACAGAAGGACCTAGACAAATTGGAGGATTGGGCCAAAAGAAATCTGATGAGGTTCAATAAGGATAAGTGCAGGGTCCTGCACTTAGGACGGAAGAACCCAATGCACAGCTACAGGCTAGGGACCGAATGGCTAGGCAGCAGTTCTGCGGAAAAGGACCTAGGGGTGACAGTGGACGAGAAGCTGGATATGAGTCAGCAGTGTGCCCTTGTTGCCAAGAAGGCCAATGGCATTTTGGGATGTATAAGTAGGGGCATAGCGAGCAGATCGAGGGACGTGATCGTTCCCCTCTATTCGACATTGGTGAGGCCTCATCTGGAGTACTGTGTCCAGTTTTGGGCCCCACACTTCAAGAAGGATGTGGATAAATTGGAGAGAGTCCAGCGAAGGGCAACAAAAATGATTAGGGGTCTGGAACACATGACTTATGAGGAGAGGCTGAGGGAGCTGGGATTGTTTAGCCTGCAGAAGAGAAGAATGAGGGGGGATTTGATAGCTGCTTTCAACTACCTGAAAGGGGGTTCCAAAGAGGATGGCTCTAGACTGTTCTCAATGGTAGCAGATGACAGAACGAGGAGTAATGGTCTCAAGTTGCAGTGGGGGAGATTTAGATTGGATATTAGGAAAAACTTTTTCACTAAGAGGGTGGTGAAACACTGGAATGCGTTACCTAGGGAGGTGGTAGAATCTCCTTCCTTAGAGGTTTTTAAGGTCAGGCTTGACAAAGCCCTGGCTGGGATGATTTAACTGGGATTTGGTCCTGCTTCGAGCAGGGGGTTGGACTAGATGACCTTCAGGGGTCCCTTCCAAACCTTATAGTCTATGATTCTATGATTCTATGATAAGTGTAAACAGCGATATCTCGGAAGCTGATGGTACCTGTTACTGATCTGAAAAGCATCATATAAATAATCTGAAATCTCCAGTTTGCATCTCTGAGTAGGTTGTGTGTGTATATGTATATTGTGTGTGCACTCTTTTTATATTTCAGCTTAATTTGAAATGACTATCTGTTTCAGTCTGGAATGAAGCTAGGTTCCACCTTTGCAGGGGAGGGGGAACATCTTTGCATGACTACACAGTTGGCGGTTCGAGGATACTGAGTTGCAAATCAAATAGAAGGGTCATTACACATAATGAAGGGACTTTACAAGGAGGTGCTAAACGATGTACCGTATATATTTATAGGTATTGTCATGGGCTGAGAGAAAGCCAGGCTTGTGTGTTACAAAGGGCAATGCTGAATTAAAACGCACCTTCTACCAACCATTGCCATAACAGCTCTAAGAATTATTTCCTGTTTTGCTGGGAAAAAATGCTGTTAATCCATTTGTCTAGCAAATTATATAATTACGGTCTCAAGCATAGCAGCTGTGAGGAAGCTGCAGAAGACTGAAGTGCCAAGTCCCCTTTGCTGCTAATTATAAAACCAAAGTCCAGAACCAAGCAAGCTTTAAGCTAGGCCTTCATAGTTTCTGAACAAGAGAAATTCCTCTGTAGGCTCCATATGCAAAATGAAGTGCTGAAGGAAAACGATGGTTCACCTGACCAGCGGTTCCTTTGGCAGAAAGCTTCAGGACATTGTCAGGTTCGAAAGCCTGTTTTGTAAGGAGCGACTTCCTCACCGCTTTTACTTAGATTGAAACTGAAATTTGACTTTCCATCAGCTACACTGTTAGTTTTTAACATTTCCCTCCACTTGGGCAGGGTGGAGATTGGGCAGTTTCACTTTGTTCTCACAGCCTGGTGATAGCTGCAGCCTCCCTCTGCTGGCTGTTTGTGCTTCAGCTTGTCTCACCCTCGTGTGCACGCCCACCCCACCCAGGTAAAAAAATACCCAGTGGAAACACTTGCCCATTTGGTGCTAGTTTCTGGGCATACCCCCATTATCCCTTGTTCTAGGTGAAGCTCCTTACATTTCTCTTATGGCTGTCTTAAATGAAGGGAGTGAGGTTTAACCCAACCCATAACAATACCAAGGGAACTGGTACTCTAGGAGAAACCACACCAGAAAGGGACACTGGGAGCAACTTCTTTAAAATTTTGTTACTTAATTGGGCTGACACCTCTGGGTCTGGTGGAGTTGCCCATTCTCTGGATGTTGCTAATGTTGCCTGACTGACTGACAGGGTGCTAGTGAACCTTGTGGACCTTGGTGAATGAGGGGCGTAACCGTGCCTCAGTGGGTCACAACTGAGAATACCAAATTCAGGACAAACTGCTGAAAAATAGGGCAGACACACCCCAAAACTAGTGGTTATTCTCCCATGAGATATACCAAACCAGCAACAAAAGTAAACTTCTGTGTCACTGCACTGGCTAACAAGAAGTCAGAAAAGCAGTTTCCTTAGGTATTCCAGTCCTTGTATCACCACCAAAAACACTAGAATTAAAGATGAGTGATTCTTTAAAACCAATTTTATCAGATAAAAGGTTCTTCTGATCCCAAAGGACCAGCCACACACCCAGGTCAATATATAACTCAGATCTTACCCAATAATCACACTGTTGCCAGTCCTTTAGTATCTAAAATCTAAATGTTTATTTATAAAAAGAAAGAAAGGTGAGAGTTAAAATTGGTTAAAGGAATCAAATACATACAGTAATTGCAAAGTTCTTGGTTCAAGCTTGTAGCCATGGTGGAATAAACTGCTGGCTTAAGTCAAGTCTCTGGTTGCTTCCAAATCATTGGAAGGTCCTCAATCCCTTCGTTAGAATGCTCCCACTAGTATAAGTTCATAGTCCAGAGGTCTGAGCAGGAAAGAGGCAAAATGGAAATGTTTCCAGGGCCTTTTATAGCCTCTGCCAAGTGACGGGAAACTGATTGTTCTCACTGTGGAAAATTACCGGTAACAAGATGGTGTTTGGAGTCACGTGGGCAAGTCACAGCTCCATGCATGATTTCGCTTAGTCATAGCAGAAGCCATTACCTATACTCCAGATGGAACCTTCACAGGAAAGTCCATTCATTAAGTGTAGATGGGCGTCTCCCATGGTCCACTGTGAGTTAAGCGTTTCTTGATGAGCCACTTGATTTGAATAGTCCCTTTAAGATGTGCAGGCTAAATACCTTGTGGACCTTAACCCAGGAACAAACATATTTGAAATCCAGGTATAGAGCCAATGCTCATAACTTCAAATACAAAAATTATACATGCATGCAAATATATTCGGCAAATCCTAAATTTTCCATAGACACCTTACTTGACATAATTTGTACAAGATTTGTTACAATTATATAACAGTGGTAACAACAATGATCTACATGGTCATATTTAATCAGATAATGTCACAAGGGGTTAACCTCAGCTCCCTTCTTGCTCTCTTGGTACAGATGCTGGGGGAAGGACTGAAAACTGGCTGCCTGGGAGATGGTCCCGTGCCTTTGGGAAGGTAGAACTTCACGTCTAGGCACCTTGTTTGGAGTTGAACCTGAACAGTGGTATGTTCTGTGTACTCTTTTTAAAGGAGGAAGTCTTGCTGGCCCTCTTATCTGGAGCGATGCCACTTGTCTTTGGCCTCTGAGCTCTAGTACAAAGGGTTTCTCCTAGCTTATTGGGTGATGGTGATTATTGTGGCAGCCTCTTGTTACAACAATGGTGGCAAATCACGGCCGTCTTATTCCTACTGAGATGGGTGGCCTTGGGATGCTGCTGTTGCTATGGGCTTCGAAACTCACACTTTGGGAGAGGCTCCAAAGTTTGCGGGGTTGGCATCCCTGGTTATCCATCCTGCTGAGAGTCCCCAGACAATTACGGCTGTAGTAATAGTGTGAATAAGCTTTCCCACATGGCTTTGCCATAGTCTCTTCCTTGTAACTTGCAGTGAGATCAACTTTCTGCTATTCTAGTCTGGGGCTTCTCTAAGCAACCTGGTGTTTGTCTTTTTGACGTGGCTGAATGTTCATTTGTAAGTATCTTGAAAGGACCAATTTCATTTGCAAACTAAAACAGGTGAACTTCTATTGCTGCCCCCACTGGAGTTGCTGTGATGCTCTTGTTGATTAAGTTTCCCTGAAATCAATGGGTGGTAACATGTACCTCATACAATCCATGCCCCAGCAGACGCACTTGATATGTTGGCAACGATGGGGCTAGCCTCCAGCTCGCAAATGTGTTAAACTGGTTTATTAAGCAACTGCCCTAGCAGTCGCTCTGTGTCGTGCTGTTTCCATTAATGTGTGATTGTTTGGGAAATGAAATTGCTGTAGCTAGCAACCCAAAGTTACAGCCACCTTCCTACTGGTGGTATAATGTTTCCATGAAAAACAAGAACCAAAACGGTAGCTCCCATCAGTTTGGAGGAAGGCAGAATCCCCGGCCTCCTGCATGCTACCAAAACTCCCCCTGTTCGGAAGAGGTGCCTGGTCCAATATAGTGTCCTGGAACAACAACCTCTGAGTTTGTTTGCACTCTTATGGGTGCCCCGGCCATGCGAAATGGCAGGCCATAAGATCAATGAACTTCACAAGACCCCTGTGGGATAGGGACATGTCATTCCTGGGAAAGCTGAGGTGCAGAGACTAAGTAATTGGCAGCGTGTGACTTTGTGGAAGTCAGGAGTGGACCATACACATCCCAGCTGTGAGTCCAGTGTCTTCACCGCAAGACTGTCCTTCCTCCCTCTTCCCTGTGCCTGAAGCGGACTTTGTAACAACTCAGTAGGAGACACGTCACTCACCCAATCCAACCCAAGTTTCACGTGAGAACCAGCATGCACTGGGGCTATAATCTCTGAGAATTCAGTTAGCTTCAGGCAGAAGATTGGAACTCATGCATTTCCAATAAGCCTTCTGTGTCCGTCACATCTACCTATGGGGCCTTGGCAGAGCTAGCAATCTGAAACCTGTGCATCAGCCCAGGAGTAGACTTCCTGCCCCAGTTCACTCCACTCTCTAGGTCGATGTCTCCGTTACAAACATTGCCCCCGGATCACTGCTGTTCTAACTACTGATGGCAGCAAAGCTACCATCCATGCTGAATGTGGCCCAGCGCCACCACTGATGGAGAATAAACGAAGGTGAAGATTTAGCAAGGTGCTTAATGAAAGCCATGCTACCGAGAACCTGCCCGTCCTGCAAAGGCACGGTGCACCTTCCCCCTCACCAAACTAAACACTGTGTGCCAATGTTAGTGGCTTATGCCTGTCCACGTTCGACCTTCTGGTCCTGACTAGTGACCTGACTTGTCAAGGGAATCCATCCAGTTGAGTCTGTTTTAGGTTTTAAGTTTGGGGGGTGAAGTGTGGACATATTCATGATGTGGGCGGGAAAAGGCAAAAAGGATCAGTCGTTTTGAACTGCCTATTCTTGTCTTGCAACCTCTTAGAGATTCACGTGAAGCAGGGCTCAGAATTTCAGAGCGCGCTACGTGAAGTACTGTGGGGCTGGCAAAAACATAACCGCAACAAGAGCCGTTCTGCCCTTGCTACCATGCCAGCTGCTGAAGATTTACAAAGCCTGCAGGAAATAATGCTGCATATGAAAATGCATGAGAAAAACCCCAGTTGTGTTTAAATGCTAGACCCTGCATTGGCTTGAAACAGCTTCTGGATTCCCTAAAGCAGGAAACTCGTGGTCATGTTTAATCTATAACCTAATTGCTGAGGTGAGTGGTGGTGGCTTGGGCTCTGATTCCCACCACTGCCCTGTCCGAGGGCGTGGGGATAGATTTATGCCATGGGCTCAGCCTCTAACAGGTTGAGTTCAAGACTCTGTCATATCTAAAAAAACCACCCGTTTGCCTTCCCTTGCCACTGCCCAGAAAATGCTGCAGATACTGTCCTGTTCCTCCGTGGTGTAACTATTGGGGTGACTCTGTACCCCAAGCCCCTAGGGTGCCGGTAGTGTCTTGCATGCTGTGTCTTGAAGGCAAACACTATTGGCTCTTCAGCACTGAGGCCTTGTGGGTGCTAGCCTGGGTGAGTCCCAGTAACCACTCAGGCACATGATGAAGGGCAATAGGATTTTATGAGGGCTGGCAGGAAAGGGAAAGTTTGCAAATGCCCTAGATACCGAGGCTTTAACAGTGACGCTCAAAGTGAGTAATAGTGGTAAGGGTTTTGGATCCCTTGGGCTGCCCACCCGAGAGGTAAGGCAGGGGTGTCCTCTCCACTCATCTCTGTTCAAGCAAGCAGGGGCTTGTGTTTTTCCCAGCCAGGCTCAGTCTCTCACTGGGAGGTCCCTCTACAGTGGCTCTCTGCCCAGCTGCTGCTGCTCCCCCGATAAGTTCCTCGCACACCTGTAACCAGCTGTACTATCTGGCAGTGGGGAGGCGGCTGATGGGAGTTATAGTCCCTTGCTAGCAGACCTCTCAATTGATTTTTCTATCCTGTATAGAGAAGGGGCTGATCCAAACATTTGTTTCCTATAATAGAGAGTCATATATCCGGGTTTCAAGGTTCATGTTAAAGAAATGGGCCACTTCCAGAATTTCTTTGAACACTCTCCATGTCTATGGCAAAGCACTCTGGCAACTTTCCCTGCCACACCATCGACACCACAGGGCAGCATAGGGCTACCTGCGGCTTTGTGGCTTCTTTACAGCCTTGGAGCCAGCATAAGGGGCTGCAGTAGGGCCTGGAATTGAGTCCCGTCTGTAGCCAAAGTAAACGGTGATCAGTGTGTGCTACTCCCTAGGGCTGGATTTCCGCTGGTAAAATTGAAGCCCGTGACCCAGAGCCGCTGCAGCTCAAGTGGTATCCGTGGCAGAAGCGTGTTGTAGACGAGATGCTGGAATTCTTACCAACGTGCTTTCCCTGCCCCACAGCCCGGTTTCCCTTGGCAGTAAAAACACCTGTGCTATGCTGTGACTGCCCTAGGCTACCATCATGGCTACAACTGATGGCAAATCGTGCCTCCGAGTCTTTTCCGCAAAGGGGTTGGTTGGAAATGAAGGAGAGAGGGGTGACGTGGACCCCATCAATGCTACCCAGCCCTCATGTTCTGAAATGGTTTAAGAAGAGCCCTCAGACCATCCCTGGTTGTGTTGTGTCCCTGTGGGGTAGTGACAGGGCTTATTGGCTTTTAACAGCAGTTCAGAAAACTTCCCCATCTCCCTAGCTGACCCTCTCCGGTGCTACCTGACATGGCTTATGGCATTGGAAAAATCCCTTGGGACATGAGATTTTCGGTGTGGCTTGGGCCTAAACCTTCTGGCTAGCTATAGGGCTCCTCTTGTGAGGTTAAGGACCCAGCGTATTCTTTTATGTGCTGTTGCCCAGAGTGAATCTCTCTCTAGGAACAAATCTCCTTTTGCTGTCGTGGCTGGGAGGCATGTTGCTCACTCCTTGGTAGTGTAACCCTTCTGCCCGTCAGAGTTGGCAGCAACAAGGGCCGGGTTCAATATCTAGGGGTTCCATTCCAATAACACAATGCAAACCGGCTCGAGCCCCCACCCAGTGACCTGGGACAAATATATACCACCCCCGCTGGGCGCCTCCAAGAGGCAATACTTCCCCTCTCGCAAGCACATAGTCTGAGTGTAGCAAAAGCCTTTTAATAACAGAGAGAAACAATGTGGCATTATGTTGGGGAAACACCACCAACAGGATTCATAACACAACCCATGAGCAAAAAAAAAAAGAACCCACCCCAGGCAAATTGGGGCATGCCCTTTTCCCTTTGGTTCTTGAGTCCAGCAACCCCAAATCACCCAAAGTCCCAAAAGTCCAATGCCCCAAAAGTCTCTGTCCCTGGTCAGGGCAGCCCCAGAGTTCGAAAGTTTATCTGCGGAGCTTTACCTCCCAACCTGGGTGGAAATGGGACGGGGGTAAGAGGCACCTTACGTGATCTGAAGCTGACTGCCCCATAGCTCCATAGCGGCACTCCGCTCCGCCAGCCGCCCCACAAACTCCTTCGCTCAGCTGCACTCCGCTCCGCCAGCCGCCCCACGAACTCCTTCGCTCCGCTCCACTCCGCCAGCCGCCCCACGAACTCCTTCACTCAGCTGCGCTCTGCTCCGCCAGCCACCCCACGAACTCCTTCACTCAGCTCCACGGCCCACAAGCCGCTCCTGCCATCCACACACTGCTCCACGTTGAACTGCTTCACCAGCCGTCCCACAAACTGCTCCACAATATATCTTCAGGCTCCCCCACTACTTAACACAACACTCAGTGATTTCAGCTCTTAGGTGAATTCAGCTTGTAGTAGGGAAGCCCCAGTGCTGGTGCACTGTCAGCCCAAAGTGAGCTCAGCAGCCTATAACTAGACTTCTAATGAAATCAAAATTAGCTCTGATATGCCACAGTGGAGAGAGGAGGAAGTGCAATTAGCATGTAAGGCCCTCACCCAGGGGCCCATGCCACCAAGTATTAATACTTGTCCCCAGCCTCTCTCCATTCACACAGTTTTGGAACCCATGACCCTTGCCTAGCGAGTGCTACTTAGTTGATGGTGAATCCCTCCATCATAACAAAAGGCCACGTACAGTTCCAAGCACAGTTCCCATAATCAGGGTAATAACAATTTATTCTTCCTGCCCCAATAACAGAGACACTGGGGACCCCACAGCAGCCAAAGTGACCATTTGGGCAGCTATGGTCTCATTCTAGGTGGGGTGGGTGTGCCTATGCAAATGAGATCGGCCCCTGAAGTTCTTTTCCACAACTTGCCACACCTCACCACCAGATGTCAGGGTGGAGCTCATCCTGACACTGCTTACAGTAGGATGCTGAGGTGGCAGAGGCCCTGCTCTGAGGTGCACTCCCGAAGCCTGGGCCTTCATGTTGTCTAGCATCCGTGAGTGAGCACCTCTGTTGGCCTTGGTGCTGCTTTTGAGGTCCGTACTGAAGCTACGGAGTACGGCCACTATAGTAGTGGCTAGGGGCCCACCAAGATCAGGGCCTCACTGTGATGGGTATGGTGCCCCAAAGAGCTTCCAGTCTAAATCGATCTGACCACCACTGGGTGGGAGAAAGGGATGGAACGTCAAAGTGAACGCTGTGCTGGTGGCAAACCTCGTGTTCCCAGATTTATGGCGGCTGTTTAAACCCTTCAGTGCGGCACGTTAGGGGATTAGCGAGCTAGAAAGGCGAAGGAAGGCTGGGGAGGGGGTTAGAGCAAACAGCCGAGCGAGCACAGGGGAGAACGTTCAGAGAGAGGCCCTGCAGAAAGCACTGACATCATCAGCGTCTCATCCCTGCTTGAACTGCTCTGGCAGCTGTTCTGCAATTTCAGTCTCTGGCTGGCTCCTCCCTGCAATCCCTCTTTCCCTGGGGCCATATGGCTGTGGGGAGGGGCAAGGCCCCAATGGTCCTACTCGCCCAGAGTCTGGGCCTCCTTGTTCAAGGGCTGCTGGGGTAATGGGGTGACCAAGCCGGCTGTTTTTATACCCAGTGCATGCAGCCGTAAACATGCAGGGCTGTTGAGGTCCTTTTCTTAGCCCTAAGTCGTGTTGAAATCAGTGGGTGTCTGGACTAACACTGGGGCACAGGACAGGGTCCTACAGTGAATAACTTGTTTTATAAAAATCTGTGATGCCAGCTTCAGATGTGGGATAGAAAGTCGCATCCAAGAGAGGCAAACGCAATTGGCAAAGGAGATCGTTCTACAGTGACTTCCTAAAATGACCCCCAAAACCTCTCTGGTAATTATTCCTCAATATGAACGCAGTATGCACAAAATCCAACAGCTGCCAACAACACGGGCTTGAGTGCCTTCTCCTGGCTTAAAATGGAAATTGTTACTGGCATTTGGCTGCATCTTCAGCTTCTAGGGAGATGAACTTGGTGCCAGGAGTGGAGAGGGGGCTGCACTAAGGAATAAGAGGAATAGGTTGATGCAGACCCCATCTGTCAGCTGGAGGAACTAGCAAAACTGCCTTGTCCCCTCTGCTCCCCTGCAGAACAGACAGGGCATTCAGGTCTATAAGCCTGCAGAACTGCAGGGCCATCTGTATGGAGAGCCCATGGCACTGCACTGCCCTTGGGTTCTCCGCCCTTTCCTGTTTCTGTGGCAGCATGGCTCAGTTGTACTGGGAGTCCCGCACCAGCCATTGCACCCAGAACTCCACTGCTGGTTAGGGTGGGAGGGAAGCTGGCATTGCAATGGGGGTCTGTATTAACTTCCCTATTGAAATCCCAGGACAGCATTGTCTTGCTGTCATATTTGCTAGCACTTCTTTTTGGTCTCGTCTAGTTTTCAGTGTGCTGAGCTATGGGGTTTCCATTATGTTGTTAACTTGTTGTGATCGGAACACAGCAGCTTAAATGAATGTTATTAAATCTTCTGGAAACTGCAAATGTCTTATCAATATGTCCGACCTTGTTCCAGGAAAGGTCACAGAATAGTCTCCTGCTGGCAAGGAACCTTGATGGAATTAAGTCTTGCTGGGATTTTCGCTGCATTGTATCCGAGACTCACTGTTAATAGGTCACCAGAACCCACCTTCCTAGGAATTGTTCTTATATGAGCGGTGGATGCTGGAAGAGGAGACTGTTTTGGTTCTATCTTATTTCTCAAACGGTGTGTTGATCCAAATGAAGGTATCCTGTTCCTGCAATATCCTTGAAAGACCTTATTGTATTAAGTTTGTGGTGGTGTGGGCTTGGATTGCGTATAATCTTTTGAGGGAGCAGATGTGAGACCTGGGAGTTGAAAAGACGAAGGCTTTGCCTACATTTGTGGCTGTGTGTATGATACAGGTAGCTACATGCTGCAATGTAAAGCAGGCTGAATCCACATGGCAGTGTTTAGCTACACGCAGCAGTGAAAGGCTCTGGCGGCAGGGAGGCAGCGGGACACTACGCTGCTAAAAACTCACTGCAGTAAGTGTAGACACAACATGCCAGACACGTATGAACTTTGGGGACATTAAGTGTTAAATAGGTTTCCTGGGGACAGGGCCATCCCTAGCCATTTTGGTGCCCTACACAGCCCCCCCACCGTTGGGGGCGGGGGGAACCATCCCCCAGCACGAGCCGGCGGAGTGGAGCAGGCTGAGGCCAGGTCGCTCCACTTCCTGCCGCCTGGTGAGTGCAGGGCAGCCAGGCCCGGCCCTGCACTCACAGGGCAGCAGGAAGTGGAGCGACCCGGCCCCAGCCCCCTCCGCTCTGCTCCCTTGGCTCCCAGCCTTGGGAGGAAGAGGGGAACCTCCCCCCAGCACTCGCTGGTGGTGTGGCTGGGAGCCGGTGGAGCGGAGCAGGCTGGGGCCGGGTCACTCCACTTCTCACTGCCGGTGAGTGCAGGCCCGACCCCTGCTGCAGTTCTCAGGGGAGTTGGGGCGGAGATGGGGAGGGGGCTTTTGGGAAGGGGTGGAGTGGGGCGGGGCTGGGGCAGAGCACAGGTGGGGAGAGGCAACTGCATACTTTGCATGTGGGTAGAGACGGCCCTGCCTGGGGAATTGGCAGAAAGAGGTTAATGCAAATGACCCAGTGCCAGTTATGCAGAAGTCCAACCACAGACGTCCCTTGGGTGAACTGAGGTGAGCGCTCTGGGCCCCACGTTTTGGGGGGCCCCGCAGGCCGGTGGGAGTGGCTAGTACCTGGGAGGTGTGGGGCTGGCACCTGGGGGGGCACAGGGCTGGCAGCACACCCCGCCCCCCTAGTTCCTGCGCCTATGGCGGGGGCTGGTTTGTCCTGGGCCCTGCAACCCCCTAGGCACGGCCCTGACTCCAGCCTTCTGAAGCTATGACAGGAGGAGAAAATCATTGTTTGCTGATTACCTGTTACAGGAGGTCAAGATCAAAGGCCTGAATAAAGAAACCGCTGATCTGCCCAGTTGGTGGTTCTGGATCTAAGACAGATGAAGTTGCAATCGGGGGGGAAACTAAAACCTACCAGAGCCCTAGGTTGGATTGGGGGTGACCTGTGGTAAGCTTTTTAGCATGCATGTAAGTTCTTTTACTGTTTTAATGTGTTTTCTCTGTAATGTTTTTACCTTAAGAATAGAAGCGTTTGCTTAGAAGGAGCTGTGTGATAACTTACCATTGGGGGCAATACTCTGGTCATCAGAGTCCTCTGGGGGGAGAGAGAGCAAAGCGCAGGCCCTGGCCTGCTGGGGATATTGCAGTAAGGCAGGGAGCTGTGCAGCCTTCAAATCCCAGCTCAGGAGGGAGTGAGAAGTGGGTCTCTGCGACTGGATGGATGGAGCCTAAAGTGGACCACAGGGGGGCAATGCAGGTGCCATTGGCCTTATGCTCAATAGGTATAAGTGAAGGGGGCAACACCAGTGACCTATTGTCATCCCTGGTGGCAAAACCAGGCTCTGCCACTGATCATAAGGGGCGTGCGGCACAAAGCGCAGCGTCAACAGCTGTGAATGCCACGTGACGGCAGCGTATGTGTTTAATTCATGCAAAAAGGCACGTTAATGCAACAATAAAGCTGCATGGGAAAGCGCATGGAGTCAGGAAAGGTGATCATTAAAGCTGAACATCTGACCCAAACCTACCTCAGGTGCATATGCATTATACTAGGCCACTAACTGTTTCATAATAAGAAAAATCTAATCCCGCTCTCTCCTCGCCCAGACGGCAGAATCCTTTTGGGCGAAGCTCGGCTTCTCCTCCTTTCGTCAGAGACCAACCGTGGAGGATTTGTCTGTCAGGGACTTGTTATGGCTCCTAAATGATGGCATAGTACAGCCAATAGCCCCGTTGAATGATTTTGATGCTGTACCTTTTAGCTATAATTTGGGCTGATCCAGCAGAGCACTTAGCACAGGTAACGTTTTGTGTTCTTTAGTCTCTGGGAGCAGGTTTTCTGCATGTGCCAGGATTGCATGGACTCTGCAAGTTTGTCAGGAATCACGTCAGATTAGATATGTGGAGAATGGACTTGGACAGTGCTGCTGAATTTGGATGCGATAAACTGGAATAAGATGCATCACAACTTAACTCAGCAGCGCTTGGCCTACTGTGACATGCTGCAAGTTGGGAGAGAGGCTCTGGCTTTCACATGGGATCTCTGCATGAGTAGTTTTCAGAGAAAATAGTTGCCAACCTTATCTAAAACCATTAGGATGAATGGCAGCTTACTGAGCACCGACCGGGCTGTATCTGTTCATGAGCTGATTGGATTTTGACAGCTTCTGAATGGCATGTCACGTCTGTGTCTCGGATCAATGGGAAGGTGATGGAAAACTGGAGAGACTGCTTTCACGTTTCAGAGTAACAGCGGTTTTAGTCTGTATTCGCAAAAAGAAAAGGAGTACTCGTGGCACCTTAGAGACTAACCAATTTATTTGAGCATAAGCTTTCGTGAGCTACCGATGAAGTGAGCTGTAGCTCACGAAAGCTTATGCTCAAATAAATTGGTTAGTCTCTAAGGTGCCACAAGTCCTCCTTTTCTTTTTGCTTTCACGTGCATCAGAACCACCCCAAATACTGCGTCCACAAAAGAAAACAAAGCCTGTGCATGGAATTGCAATCCTGTATATTACAGGAAATCATAAAAACACATTTCCCCCCCCTTCTGTGGTCTTGAGCGTATTGTGAAATTAGGAACAGATGGATGTGTTGCTATTTTGTGGGAAACTGCTTTGGATTCCAAGAGACACTAGGGGTACAGAAATAAATAGGGGCAGTGTAACTATTGATAAAGCAGACGGATCACTGAAGAATGCAAAAGTAGGAACAATGTCTTGCTAAGTGAACAAGCAGCTTGATAAACTTACATGGCACTTAGCAGAACTTAGCTAAGACATTTGCCCTGCCCCGAAGAGGTTAGTCTAAAGCCAAACACCACCCAGGACAATGGTTCAGCTGATGGAGGGCCAAGGGGTTACTAATGGTGGGTAGGGAGGATGGATTTAACCGGTCTGATGTGTCCAGCATCCAGCCCTTTTAAACCAACAGATAATTATGGTCTAAACCATCTAATTCTTGAAAGGGAACATGCACTCAGACCACTGGTATGTGCCCTCAACCGAGCCAAGTCTTTTCCGTGGGAATATTTGTAATTAATATTAACCCCTCTTACTGTTGAATGTCTTGTATGCCGGTTGGTTGTCAGGCTCCAACCCAGAGAAGTCTGCATTTCCATTGGTGCATGTATACAGTTTGTGAAGGACTTTGGTATAAAAGACAGTTTTTGGTAAGTGTAAAATATTAGTAATTACACTTAAAATGCTCTCTCCAGCAGTATTTAGAGCTGTTTGTGTCTTGAGGGTGTGATGTGAAAAATCTTTAAAACCTACAATAAAAAACTCAAGGATAACCTTCATGCCCCTGACCTGCATCATGGATCGCTGTAGTCCAGATTCATTCCACGCATGGACATGCTATGGATATTAATAGGAGGAGGCAATGAAACAGAAATCCTTTAGCCCTAAGAATGCTCACATGTAATCACTTTAGCCCGCTACTCCCGAGATTCTTGCTATCTGTATAACTGATCTCGTCAGCAAAGAGAGGCTGACTCTTCAATGTCAAACTTCTGCAGCATTTTTCCCACCAGCAGAACTAGTCTGTCTGAGCAGCTTCCTGACTGCCTCAGAAGTTGTTCCATGGGGAGTTGTTACTAACTCTTATTCCAGGTGGGAGACCGGTGGAAGAGCTGTTACCATCAGGATGTTAATGTCTATTTCTCAGAAAGGCATTCGTTAAAATCGAGTCGGCCTCCTGCCAGACACCGGTCAGCTACTGAGCTGTTAACCTACAGCCGAGCACTGCTTGGGATTGCTTGTTCTGGGGGACGAAATTTGGCCTCATGCTGAAGCTTTGTAGGCGCGTTTGTAACTGGAGCTGGTGGGAAGTGCTCTGAGGAAACTGCTGGAATGTGCTGTACAGGCTGCCCCAGGGCGGCAGCTCCGTTACCTTTGGCAGAAAATGTTGAAAATTGCTGTTTTTATCCCTATTCTGAATGCAACCAAATATCAAAATCCTCCACGAAACAGTTACCTTTCCCCACAGAGCTCTGCTATACTTATAACCTCTCTGACTCAACCCAAGTATCCCTTTCTTCCAGCTAAAAAGGGAGCTGGAATCAAACCGAGATGAGCCAAAGTTCCCTGTTCTCCTCTTCACCTCAGACAATGGTTTAGTGCATAAGGCAGTAGAGTGGAACTCTAGAGGCCTGGGTTCTATTCCTGGTTCTCCCACTGGCCTGCTGGGTGACCTTGGGCAAGTCACTTCATCTCTGTGTGCCTCTGATGCTTGCCAGTCCTGTCTATTTAGGCTGTAAGCTTTTCAGGGCAGGGACTCAACTGAGTATGTACGGTGCCTACCGCAATGGGATCCCATTTCAGTTGCAGCTTCTATTCACTACTGTAAAACTAATGCTATTAATTTTCATCTGCGGGGGAAAGGGAGGTGGGGCTGTGATTGTGAAATAATTAACTATGGTATATTGCCTATAAAAACATTTTATTCCCACGAATCTTTATCAAGTGATGGATTATTTGATATGCCTTTTAGTTTAAGGAATGGGATGGGGAGGGGACGGGAATCTCTTGAAGCGTTCAACAGCCTTGAATCCTCCTCTGCCGATGTTGCATTATATTTTGCTTTGTAAGATTAATGGAAGTTGTGTCTGAGTCCCCTGTAGTTCTTGGTTATTCGATTTGGTTGAAATTTTCAAACAACTCAAGACCCGTTTAGAAATGGCAGCAAAATACAATTGATCACGTTGGAAGTTCCATGGCAACTGGAAACAAGTGATGAAAAATGAAACTCGAGTTCCACAAGACGTTCCCAAAGCAGCCCGTTGGATGGAAATTCCATTGGCAAAAAATTGTAAAGAACCACAGACGAATAAATCTTCCCAGTAAGGCCAGAAGGACTCATTATGGTTATCTAGTCTGACCTCTTGCAGAACGTGGGCCATGGAACCTCACCCAATAATTTCTGTATCTAGCCCAATAACTGGTGGTTGAACTAAAACCTCTCTCTTACAAAGACATCTAGTCATCAAGATCTAAGTTCCTTTTTGTGAACTGGAAAACTGAAGTTTGCTCAGCTCTCTGGCATGTTTTGCAACAATAATGTCCCTGGATAAATTCCATGGCAGGTAATCCTTTCCCCCCACACACCTGAATTGCTTCTGGGGCTTGAATTGAGGATATTTGTGATGTTCACTTCCTGGTCTAATGTGTGTTATGGTTTGTTTCTTCCTTATTACAGGTGTGTTGTAAGTGGCCCATTCCCTTCGTTTAAATTTGGGATCGGCTTGACCTGGATAAAATCCTGGGAAACTTCTGAAATGAGACATAAAGGAGAATTTTAAAATGATACCCTAGGTATTTAGGCCTCAATCCAGCAAAGTTGTTTTTATGCATGTATGACTGTAGCACCTAGGAGCCTAAGTCATGGATCAGGATCTGTTCTGATATATGGGCCTATACATTTACCCTAACTGTGCGCATAATGATAAAAAGTGAGTAAAAGTTCGTAACATATCACAATAACCCCCATCAACATTTGTTGTTCTAAAAAGGTGTGAAAGCAATACAGGCAACAAAGAGGCCTACTGACACAACTCGAGGACTGTGTTAAACAGGAAAAGTGAGGAACTGGAAACCAGTGGACCAAAATTGGTGTGTTAGAAATTAGACCGAACTGGTGGACAAAATGATGAGAGGAATGGACTATTTCTCCCATCACTCCCTTTTGGGGTTCTTTAAAGAAAGACTTTGGGACAAAAATTGGCTACTGAAGTGAGCTTCATCATCATGGCTGCCACCCTCACCATCTCCTGGGACACTTTGCCAGGCTGATCCTGAGACATGTTCAGGCCAGAGAGAGGGAACCTGATAACATCGCCACCGGCTCTGGCTAAATCAAAAATGCCACCTGGGCTCAGGCCCGCTCAGAAGTCCAGAGAGGCCTGGGCAACTTCCAGCTTTTGAGGCCCCCTAGCCATAATAAAAATAAAAAATGCCGACACGTGAAAACAAAATAAGGCACCAAAAAAAGTGTGAGACACAATTTGA